CCACATAAGCCACAAACCCACTACAGCCCTGCTGTAGACTCTCCCTCGCTCTAGCGGCCGAACAAAATGCTGAGCCAGAACGGGTACCCTCGCCGTACACCGTAAGTACTCCCCCACTGGGGTCTCGTATCGTCACCAACTGTAGCTCGCAGTCTATCACATCTCCGAAATGGCTCAACCAATCCATGCCCACTATGACACATACGTCCCCCATAGCAATCGGGACCAGATCTATCGGAAACTCGACACCGAAGATCTCGAGTACACATCCTCGAATCACATCAGTAGCATACACCGTTCGCTCGTCAGCTATGGAAACTCGTAGAGGTCGACTCAACGCCTCACGTTGGTTACTGATGTGCTGACTAAACGCTAGTGACACAAAAGACCGACTCGCACCCGAGTCAAATAACACCAAGGCAGGTACAGAACACACAAGAAATGTACCAGCTACCACATCGGGTGCTGCGCGGACCTCCTCCGTTGTCAACTGGAAGGCTCTCCCGCGAGCCTTCGGTGCCTCAGCCTTCGCCGGCCGACTCTATGTAGCTCGAACAACAGCAAGAGCAGATCCCTGAGAAGCTCCCTGAGCTGACCCTCGTAACTGTGGACACTCGGCCTTCCGGTGTCCGGTCTGGTTGCAGTGAAAACAGACTGCAAACCCCTTGGGGCAATCCTTGGCCATATGCCCCTCCTTGCCACATTTGTAGCAAGACCCTGCTCTGCACACTCCATCATGACTCTTGCCGCACTTGCCACAAGTGCGGCCCCTCTGGCTCCCTGATCTCGAATCGGCAGGCTTGGCCCGCTTGGCTGCCGGCTGAGACTGTGCCGGTCGCCGATCCCTCCCCTGAGACTCCGCCTCCTCCCTAGCCTGAGTCTCCAGCTCTATCTCCCTCTTCCGGGCATTTGCCTGAAGCTCGGCAAATGTCCGGTACGTCGAGTTCGCCACGAACTCTCGTATATCCCTCTTCAAAATGCTCAGATATCGGCTCATACGTGCCTGCTCGGAGGACACGTGCTCTAGGCAGAACATCGCCCGCTCATGGAACATCCTGGTGATCACTGTAACAGACTATGTACCCTGCTTGAGGGTCAAAAACTCCTGGGCCAAACGCTCCCTCTCCACCTAGGGAACATACTCTTCTCGGAACATAGCAGTGAACCTCTCCCAGGTCACTGCAACAAGCTCAGTAGGCGAATAGTGCGCCGTCACAAACTTCCACCAGTCCATCGCTCCCAAGCGAAGCTGGTTCAACGCGAACCGGACTCTCAAATGCTCTGGAGATGAGCAAGTAAAGAAACACCCCTCAATGTCTGATATCCACCTCATCGCTGCAATCGGGTCCTGGGTCCCATCAAACTCCGGTGGTTTTGTGTTGCTGAACTCACGAAACAGCAACGCATCACCACCCTGCGGCCTAGTCGCAGCTATAGCTGCAGTGGCCGCAGCCTCAAAAAGAGCAGCGTATCTCCCGTCAAATGTCTCTATCAGTGTGGTCTTGATAGACCCGAACATCTCTGGTATCTCTGCCCTGATGGCCGCAGCCACCTCCTCATGAATGATCCTACGGATCTCCTCATCACTAGTACCGCTGCTCTCTGGTGGGTGGCGTGTCCCAACCATGATGTCTCTAAAATACAACATAATAAATATCAGGGACTCGCTCGAGTATACTCGCACTCGATAACTCCACCCTACTTGCTCCTTAGTACCCAATGGATTCTTACTTAGGGTGCGCACTGCTCCGGTGTCTTCAGTAGTACGGGCCCTATACTACCGTCCACACCGCATCAGCATCCACTCTAAGTCCTCCTCCTTGGATCCCAAGTCCCAAGTACTCTACTCTCTTTAACCATATGCTACTCACTAGCAGCTCTCTCATAAACTCCTTGCTGCTATCTAAACACTCTCAAGTATCCCTAGCAGCAAAACTCCTAGACTAAGGCATCACATATCAGGCCACTCTAGTCCTAATAAGAATACCTAGTCTACTCTAGCATGCATAGCATAACTCATCAATATCATAACATAATATATCTCATAACACTAATTACAAGAGTATTTTGGGAAATCACCGTTCGGGCGCTGACTGATCGTACACACGGCTCTGCTCTGTTTGTCTCAAAACTCTTTTTACTCTTTAAAAAAGTTTTTAGTCATCAAAATTTCTCTCAAATCCTCAGTTTGAGTTCAGATACGCCCGAAGATGAATCCGAATCCCTCAAACCAAGGCTCTGATACCAACTTGTAACACCCAAATTTTCAAAACAATTTTTCACATTTTATAAAACACATTTTCATTCATAATCGTTATAAAAACACCATTGGATCACATAGTCAATCATAACATCATATCCCAAGATCATAATAAAAATCTCCCCGTGTGTGTACTGATCAAGCCGGCGCCTTCCCGCGATCCTCGCTGGTACCTGAGACACATAACACAACACTGTAAGCATAAATGCTTAGTGAGTTCCCCAAAATACCACACACAACACATATTAGCCACTCAAGGCTATAACTCTGATGACCCTCTGGTCAAGGTGTCTCTGTGGGACCCTCCAGTCCCATAACTCTGTGGGCCCTCTAGCCCTAACTCTGTGGGCCCTCTGGCCCTAACTCTGTGGACCTTCCAGTCCTAACTCTGAAAACTCTGTAACATACATAGCATATAACACATAGAAATCACATCATGCAAAAGCATACAACATACTCTGTCTCATAGCTCTAATTACCACTCTAGGTAAAGTATAGTGAGAAGACTCACCTCGGGTAACTCGGTAAAGCTCGAACTCTGTAAAATCAGGTCTAGCCTCCGCCTAATCATGTAAAATAAATACTCTCAATCAATACATCTCTCAAGGCTAGACTATTCCTCCTCTTAGTACTCTCAGAAGGGTAAAAGACCATTTTACCCCTCTCATAACTCAAAGGCCCCACTATAGACCAAACCCTAAAAGTCAACCAAAAGTCAACCCTCCGGGTTACGCTGCGTGTACCAGATGTGTACGCTGGGCGTACCCGGCAGTCTCTCAGAATCGGGGAACGCCACCCCGTACGCCGCGCGTATTGGGATTACGCCCGGCGTAAATCCCAGTTTCAGTCCCTTAGCTCTTGAGGTCTTAAACAGTTAAGACTCACGTCCAGCTTTTAGATCTGACCATTTTTAAGCCTCTTAATCCATAAAGTCGATGACTTTAAGCCTTTGCATGGCTGAACAAGTCACTAACACCCAAAATATACCATTTCCTAACACTAGAAAGCCCAATACTCAAGCATGATCTCATATCCACGACCAAGATGGGAACTTTATGGATCTATAACACAAATACCACTGAAATGGGACAGATCTAGGTCCATGGAGCACATTACGCTCATAAAGTCTCCACCTTTGGGACTTTTAACCCTAAAATGGTCCATGAAGCAACAAACCAAATGAAGAGGAAAGTTTTGAACTTTAAACCTCCAAATGCAGCTCCTTCCTCTGTAGATCTCAGATCCAAACTTGCACTTCAAACTCTAGTCTCCACAAACTCCTCTCCTTCTTCTTCACTAGCACACCAAGGCACTTTTAGCTCCAAAATCACACACACTCACTAAGAACGATGAAAAGTTCTCTCTTAGGGTTTTACTCACTGCTATGGAGGCTGAGAAATGAGCCTTAGCATCCAATATATAGGGCACAAGTCAGAAATTAGGGTTTGCACCTGGACACATTACGCCCAGCGTAACCCTGAGTACGCCCAGCGTACTCAGGCGAGTCCGCGTCCAAAATAAGCGCATGAGTACGCGCAGCGTACTCTTGAGTACGCCCAGCGTACTCATTTGCTACCAATTCCTCTTAAGGGCTTAACTTGACACTTTGAATAAAAGAAGGGCTAAATAGTTGTACCTGAATTTCGGGATGTTACACAATTGTTGTGATACTACGCATGAGGTCATCCACCCCCGAACGCTTCCGCCGTTCCGGTTTGGGGGTGTGACACATCAAGCTTTCGGTAGTGGGAGATTGGTTGTAGAATAGGATAACAAACCGGGTCAAGACATAAATTCAAACTCCGGTGTATACTTTAGATCCAGATGTAGGTTTCCGACGACGGAGAATTTTAAACCTAGATCCTTAGAAATTGAAACCTTCATCATCTTTTTCCTCATTTTTCATGTGTTGATCAAAACCTGCATCTCCTTCTCAACCCCAATCCCGGTTGAAAGTATCGATGAGTGGTGGTGAACGATTTGTGGCCGAGACTAGAAGTACATGAAGGTGAAAGGAATGTCGATGGGGATTGTGGAGGGCTTACCAAAATAACAATGACACCCACGAATGAAAAAGAATGGCGTCGGTGGTAGTGGTTTCTGAAACCATTCATCATTTTTGTAGATCGGAACCACTGACGAAGGAAGAAGAATGTTGTCGATGGTGGTTTTTGGAGACGAAGGGTAACGCTGATGACGTAAATGTGGGTGGGCAGGTGGTGTCCAATAGGTGGTGGTGTCCGGCAGGCGGCAACGGTGGTCCTATGATGTTGGTGGTCCGACAAAGATAAAGATAGAGAAAGAGAGGCATTGAGTAAATATCGGTTGGTAGGTTAGAAGGAGGAGGGATGGGCATGGTATAATTTGTATTTTTTGGTTTTCTAATTAAATATATAGAGAATAATTAAAAAGAAATTAATAAATAATTATTGAAGGGCAAATTCGTCATTTCAAGTTGGGTATGGACCAAAAACATACAAAAGTGCCTATTACAGGGACCAAAACCAATTTCAAGTTGGGTATGGACCAAAAACATACAAAAATACCTACTATAGGGACCAAAACCAATAGAAATATCCAATTTTGGACTAGTGGTACACCAACATTTTATTTTCGACCAAATACACATAAATTTGCCGACCACAAAAACCATTTTTGCAATTTTGTTGCAATTTTGTCTTTGTTGTGGCTTAGGATGTGTTGAATGTCGTGTTTCGATATTTTGGGTCCTATTTGGGCCGACATACATGATTGTTCGTGTTTTCCTTTTCTATAATATTTTCACTCGATTCGAATCTATCCCGTTCCCGTATCAGTGAACAACACCATAGCTTTTATCAGTTTCCCACACCACAAGAGCTCACAAATACAAACCCTTATAAATTCCAAAGACGATAATGGCTTTCTCACTAACAACCCCAGCTCCCGGAACCACCGCCACTGCCGCCCTCTCCAGCTCGTCCTCTTCGGCGTTTCTCAATCCATACCCCTCACAACTATCCCTTCGGTTAAACAAATTTGGGTCCTGCTCGCCCAAATCGTTTGCCGTTTCTTGTGTCCTTGCTAAACAACCCACCGGTCAAATGGAGCTGGAGAAAGCGGTGGTTCAGGATGAGTTGTCGGTTCTTCAGCGCCCCGATTCGCTCGGCCGTTTTGGTAAGTATGGTGGGAAATATGTTCCTGAAACCCTAATGTTCGCTCTCTCCGAGCTTGAATCAGCTTTTAAAGCCTTAGCTACCGATCATGAATTCCAGGTATTGATTGCGAGTTACTTCATCCCGTTTCTATGAATGCCACAATTTTACAGGACCACTTGCCGATTGATATACCAAGCGTTATTTGGATGTGCATTTCTATGTTTGAAAGTGATAAGATTGTGTACTTATGCATTGTTTTACCAATTGAAACATCTTTGTAATTTTTTTTTGCTTCTTTATAGTAATTGTACAAAAGATGCCCTATTGTATAGTCAGAATTAAACAATTCTTCGATAAATATCTACAACTAAACTTGTGTGTTTAAAGATTTGCATGCTATGGTGTTAAAAAATTTGGCAAATAAGTATAAAGAGTTAAACGTGGTTTCACTGTTTTCTCATTTCATGCAACAAAATGTTGTTTAGACTAAATATGCAACATTGTGACTAGTAATCATTATAAAAAATCCATGCAGTATTACTACAAAAACCCCTCTTTCTGGTTCAATTTATGGAGGAATTGCTAACTTATGTAATAAACTATGCGAGTGCAGAAGGAATTAGCTGGAATATTGAAGGACTATGTTGGTAGGGAAAGCCCATTATATTTTGCAGAAAGACTTACAGAGCATTATAAACGACCCAATGGTGAAGGGCCAGAGATTTATCTTAAAAGGGAAGATCTTAACCACACTGGTGCACATAAGATCAATAATGCGGTTGCTCAAGCTTTGTTGGCCAAAAAATTAGGGAAAGAGAGAATTATTGCTGAAACGGGTGCTGGGCAACATGGAGTGGCAACTGCAACTGTATGTGCAAGATTTGGTTTGCAGTGTATTATTTATATGGGTGCTCAGGATATGGAAAGACAAGCTCTTAATGTCTTTAGAATGAAGCTGCTTGGAGCTGAGGTTTGTTAAGTTTTCAACTTTCCCTTTTATTTATTGTCAACTTTGAGATTTATAAATGCAACATTAATGTAGTATTTGGTATGATGGAAATATGGAATGGATCATTCTGTTCCAACATTAATAGGATTCACACCATTTTGTTACTTTTCACAATTTCTTTACATTTCATACCTTCTAACAACTTTCTCATTTGATCATTTCCTATAATTACTACATCATTTAGGTAAGACCTGTTCATTCAGGGACAGCCACACTAAAAGATGCCACATCAGAGGCCATACGGGATTGGGTAACCAATGTGGAAACAACTCACTACATCTTAGGTTCAGTTGCGGGCCCACATCCTTACCCTATGATGGTGCGTGAATTCCATGCAGTAATTGGTAAAGAAACACGAAAACAAGCAATGGAAAAATGGGGTGGAAAACCAGATGTTTTAGTTGCATGTGTTGGTGGTGGATCAAATGCCATGGGCCTGTTTCATGAGTTTGTTGAAGATAAAGATGTCAGATTGATTGGAGTGGAGGCTGCAGGTTTTGGGCTTGATAGTGGAAAACATGCAGCCACTTTAACAAAAGGAGAGGTTGGGGTGCTTCATGGAGCTATGAGTTACTTGTTACAAGATGATGATGGTCAAATCATTGAGCCTCATTCCATTAGTGCAGGGTAAGTAGAATTAGAAAGCATTTTTAACTGCTATAATTGGTCGGTATAATGTGTAAATCAGTAACAATATTGATAGTGCAATGCTTTAATGGGTAGATATTTCAAAGTATAATGCCTTAATAAGAAAAAAAAAGTTGTAGATACAATGCTAATGGGTAGATATTTCAAATTACAACTTAATACGAAAAAAAAAAAAGTTGTAAATATATTGCTATAACATAAAGAAATAAAAGTAGGATGATATAATACACAAATAAAGGAAAGTATATTGTTTTTTCTCGCATTTAGACCTTGTTTTATAATGCATACGTTCCTTGTGTAGTTATCTAAAGTTTTTATCGCACTCCATTAGTTAGTTGCATTATCATATATAAATTCCTAGAATGTCTTTTGCTGTTATATATATTATTGCAAAATTCAACAAATATCTTCATGGATTTTGAATATAATAAGTACACGCATCCAATTACTATTTTTACCTTTTTATTCAACCGGAAAATTCAAACAGGTTTGGTTTTTTTAGGGCTAAAAAGCTGTGACCGTTTTGTTTTCCTTAATCTCAAATCATTATTATGGCTTATTGTAGGCTGGACTACCCGGGAGTGGGACCCGAGCACAGCTTTCTGAAAGACTTAGGGCGGGCTGAATATTATAGCATCACTGACGAGGAAGCGTTGGAAGGTACATATTTTATTTTGGGTGAATTACAAATTTCGACCCTGTGGTTTGTCAAAAGTTATGGATTGGGTCCTTTGCGATCCGTAAAAGATGCATTTGTATCCCTTTTTGTTCTTGGGTCGTTTAAGTTAACACCTATGTCCATGTAAAATGACCTACTTGCCCTTGCCCTTTTCCTTTTATCTTTCATGTAAAATGAACCTTTTCTTGTTACCTTTGTTCATCGCGTAACAATTTGGGGTTCATGAACATGAACAACAGGAAGAAGATGAAAATGGTCATTTAAACGGCACAGAGACTAAAATGGTTAAAAAGTGGAATCGTTAAAGGACAAAAAAGGTTAAAATTACTTGCTTAATTTTATTAATTGTTTGTGTGCAGCTTTTAAGAGACTTTCAAGATTAGAGGGAATAATTCCGGCTCTAGAGACATCTCATGCATTGGCTTATCTAGAGAAACTGTGCCCTACTTTACCTAATGGCACCAAGCTTGTCCTTAACTGCAGTGGTAGAGGAGATAAGGACGTTCATACTGCCATTAAGCATTTGCAGGTTTGATAACAGTTGTTGTTGTTTAAGAGTTGTCATATTTTGAGAAATATTATGTTATATATTTTGATTTCTTGTTTTGGATATAAACTTCAGTTGTTGGATTTTACACAGTTTCTATTTCTTCATGTCTTGTTATCCTTCTTTATTCTTCATGTTACTAGTTTCATGTCTCGATATGACAATCCCAACTGAGATCTCAGGTTCTTTGCAGTCATATCCCAAGTGATTGACTTGTTAGTTTTTCAAAAGTCAAAACCTAATCCAAACATTTTTTTTAGAAACTCTTTGTCACCACATAAGCTAATAAACAAACACTTTTATAAGAACGAATTTATTGAGTTAAATAAGCAAATCCCAAACACCCCCTATGTATGTGTAATGATATAAATTTCTTAATTGAATAAAAGATATAAGTATTTTTGTATTTGGGGCTAAATGCGGAGTAAATTTGAGAAAACTAATTGGGAATGCATCTAGGGTTTTGAAGAAATGAGCTCACACACTGTCACTTTCTCGAAGAAATTTGTAAAAATGGGGTTGTTTCTAAAAAGCCTTGCAAAAATTGGGCTTTGGACCCACATGGAAGATATGGTTAATACTTGATCTGAAAGCTACATTAGTGGTGCTTCTCATTTTACAACTTTAACCATTTTATTTTTATAATATATTATAATTATATCCTTTACATTTTCAATGTTTAATTTATACCTTCACCATATATATACATATAATATCTTTTAATAAAATTAAATTATTAAAACTTTTATATGATTTTTAATAGTTTATACCACTAAAATGATCGTGTTAATACCTTCAAATCAATACCAATATTATATATAATTAAAATTATATATAACAAATAAATGTAGAATTCATTAGAAATGTATAAAAATTAAATGAATTTACAACTATTGCATGTGAATTGTAAAATCCAAAGGTAAACTATATGCAAAACTACTTCAATGGCAGAAGCCAAAACAAAAACGTCACTGTTCATCTGAAAAAAAGTTAAAAACTTTCTGCTTATAATATTATAAATTTGTACATTTATTTCTAACATTCCTTGAATATTATTCTCTTCACATTTGCATCATCAACGTTCCATATTTCTCTCATGTTCGAATCATTAGTTATTTCATACGTTAAACATAAGGTACATATTTTTATCTAAATATTTTGCATATGTTTGATGTAAAATGTTAAATTTTGTATAGTAATTTGCATCGTTTATCCTATGGTTCGTATTGCAGCTACATTCAATAGAATTTGACAACTTTTAGAAAAACACAATGATATTGCAATGAATTACAATACACATACCATAACTATATTACAATTTTTTAGAAACTATAGTGATATTGCAATGAAGTGCAATACATATATACCGTGTATGTGGTGTCTCTTTGTTAAATGTGATACTCACGTACAAAGTCATACTTTATTTGAGTTTGACTATAATGAAGGTGTATAAAATTGTTACAATGTCACAAATAAATCAAACATGTGGAATTACACATATTGTCCGTATTATCAGCATACGTGTGCATATGGTAAGTGGAAAATGAAAATGTTTTAATGTTCGCATGCTCATGCAATTTGTGAAGGGATAACCCTACTTTCATTATAAACATTACACTAGTGATATGTATAAACAACGATATGTGCACCTGAGATGTATCACACATGTAGATGATGTAAGCATGAAAACCAAATGAGTTTTTCATACCAATAATATAAACAATAATAAGAAAAAGGGAAAACGGAATACACACTTGTAACGAAAGTGTGTGAAGGCATATAAAACCAGTTTCAACAACATCCGTCATGGACATACATCCCATCCTTTTATCTTTAACAACCAACAATTGACACATTCAAAACTTCAAATAATCACTGAAATAGTATCACTTTGTAACGGTAGGTACTTTTCATTTATGGTGATTAATCAAAGAGTTTAGTTCATTATTAACTAGGGGTAAAATGAAGATGTTTTGGGGGGAGTTAAATGAAATTTAGCCAAAGATCTAAAGTGCGTTGTTTTCTTTTTATGGGTAAAAAGGCTAACTTTAGGGAAATTAACATACTGAAATTTAATAAAGTTGTTAATATTGTTGTTTAGGGATAAGTTCTGAACTTGAAAGAAATAAGACTAAGAATTATTTTGAAGAACAAGAAAGGGTTAGGGTGCATTTGGAGTTTTCCATAAAAATTTTGAAAAAGTTTTGGTTGACTCATTTTTAAAAAAATTTATGTTTTCCAAATTGTGTGTAAATTAGAAAAGTAATTGTTACAGTATTCCAAAGTTTTCTAAATTTCTAAAATAGAAAATAAAAACTCCACAGGTTTCAACTAAAGGCGTTTTTGAAAATTTTCATTGTAAACTGAAAACTCAACTCAACTCCAATTTTTTAAAACGTTTTTACAAAAATGAAAAAACAAATTTCTACAACGCACCCTTAGTCCAGTAGAAAATGTTTAAATTATACCAATTTAACCTTTAATATCCAGTTTTACCGGTTTTCTGACAACTAGGCAACCAATGTGGCAATACGATAATATAGACATGAAATTCAAACCAGCAAACAAATAATGAAATGAAATGTTTACCCAAACCTTCAAATCAATGATTTGTGAAATCCTAATGCATATGAAAATCCAAAGGAGCAACGCACATCAAATCCCAGTTTATTGGGAAATACTAAAAAAGAAATAAAAGTACATAAAAGTTGTTGATATTTCATGTGAACCTGACAACAAAGGCTGCAGAGCTACTTTCGATCTTATCAAATTCCTTTATGACATCTGTTTCCTTCTTTCGATCTCCCACCTGAGTCTTAGACCAACAGATATTCATCCTCTCCAAAACAGTTGCATACTTCAAAACACGTTTGAGAAAACATATTTCTGAATCAGTAGCATGAAAGTTCTTGAAAGTCACAATCTTGAGGCAATTTGACATGCATATAGGTACTAATAACCAGATTCTATCTTCCTCACCAAGGTCCATAGAGTGCTCGAAACCCTGTACAACATTTTAGAAAACCTTATGTTAAATATCATATGATTGATGTTTCTTTCGACTTTGAGTATAGAGTAATCCACCTCAGAGAGACCAAAAAATTGTAGATTTGGACAGAAGTAAAGCAAATTCATCACTGCTCCAAAAGTATAATTCTCGATTTCCTTAGTCAACGTTAAATTGATCAAATTTGGGAAAACCGGTAAATGGAGTGGCATGTCTGTAAATATGAGAGACTTTTTACATGGAAAAGAGAACACACAAACACAAAAGTCAGTAATCATAATCACACAGTCGTATCTTAACAGTATTGTAGAAAGAGGTGAGTTGTGATATATATTCAACTTAAGATGTAGATTAGCTTGTCAATTACCTCCATAGTGACATTAGATAACCCCAAAGCCATAACATTTCGTAGTTGTTTGAGTAGATCAACAGCTCGACATGTGACTTCATTCTGCCTCTCCTCAGGGAGAGAAATGTGAATGTATGCTCTGACAAGAGAAGGTATATCACTCAAGAGAATTTCGTTTGATAGATGTCCGATATATTCAAAAGATGTAAGATTTGCTGCAATAATCTTGATCTTACAACCAATATCATCATCTTCTGGCTCAAAGTCCGAGTCATCGAATATGGTCAAGCTTTTTAAGGTGGGACTGGAAATCAAAATGTTATCCAAGTGAATCCATTGGCAATATGCTAAAACCAATTTTTCTAGAACCGGACAACCTGAGAAAAGTCGTTCTGCATCACCATCATTTAGGAACCCAACATAATCTAGGTGCACGTTTTTCAGGCACGAAAAAGAAACGTCAGATGGGACTTCAATCCATTCTATTTCTAATTTCAGGATAGTCAATGACATGCTATGAAACATAGACCTAGGAATCACAGGTAAAATCATATCCACTATACAGAGATCAAGCTCCCGAACATTGTGCGAGATTGCATCAGAAATCCATAATTTTATTTGGGATGCATCAGAGGAAATACGACATCTTAGACTGAACTTCTCTAAATTTGATGCATCCCGCATCCGGAGGACCCTTTCTACAAAGTTCATGAAGGAGGTGACCTTAGATGGATGCTTGTCATCAATCTCTCTAGGATACAACACTGCATCATCAATCTCAATGTTGGGAACATAAGCCCAGAGGTTCTTCCATCTTGTAGATAATACGGACGTCTTTACAACTTCTTTTGTAGGCATAAATGACAGAATCTGGTGAAGAATACAATCCGGTAGATTGCTGATACGATCGACCATATCACATGAATGTTCAATTTCATGTTGCTTGTGGCCTCTGTATTTACTCATTGGTAGCTTCTTTGGTTTCATAATCACAGCCTACAAGGTGAAATATCAAGTTTAATCTTCTTTAAAATCAACTAACCTGAAAACATTCAAGAAAAGCAAGTTAACTAGATCAGAATGGCTCAACAAAAACTATTTAACTAAAATCATAACATAGACCATAACCATTAACTTAAACTAGGAACATTTAATCACTTAAATGCTCAAACCAGACACTTTTAGGACCCAAAATCGATCTAATTTACCTTCAATCTACGGCAAATGAACTTATGAAGAGTAGTCTTTGAGTTGTGCCCTAATTATAAGCATCTCCATGAATGGCGATTATAATTCCTAGATACAACTGACTTTTAATTGATGATCCTTTTGACTACAGATTGCAAATCAACATAACAGGTGCACAACATACCATATGTTGTTAACCTAAATTGATATCTCTACTATAAAAAAGAAATAGAAAAAATATAAACCCCAGAATTATTGCGCAGGTAAAGCTTACTGGAATCGACAGTCTTTATCGACGAATGGTTAAAGTTTTGCCGGAGGTGCGCCTGAAATTGACATGACGATTGAGACCAAATGACATGACAATGTAATCGAGTTTAAGGGCTTGTTTTATTTCTCCCTCACTCTCGCTTTTACTATATATAACTACAACCTTACACATTTCATCCCTTCAATTCCAATATTAGTGCAAAACACCCTCGTATACAAATAATTTGCATTTTGTTAGATGAGTAATTCTTATAGTTTATTTTATTGTGATTTTGGTCATTAATAAATGCAAGATGATTTTTTTTATCCTTATTTAACACATTTTTATCATTTTAACATAGTTTTAATTTTTATTGTAATTTTTATAGTTTATTTTATTGTGATTTTGATCGTTAATCAATGCAATAAGACTTTTTTATCCTTATTTAATACATTTTTATTTTATCATTTTAGCAAAGTTTTAATTTTTATTGTTATTAAATGTGTGAGACCTCAACCACCCCCCTCTTCTTCTCATCGCCTATCCTATACACCATCATTGTCGACACTCATTTCCAATATGTAAGAGCCATAATATATATTATGAAATACATGTAATACCATCATAAATACTAGGTATCAAGATCTATAGAGATAAATCTCGATTGTTAAGCCAGAGTATGTGTATAGATATATGAGATCTTGAAGATATTTAAGATATAGGACTCCATAATAAGTTTTGAACCTATACAACATTATTTAGAATCGAGCAAAATTCAATGTCTTAATTTCACTAAGAACCTAGATAGGATAACTTGAGTCCAATAAGTTTCAGCTATGAGATCGATCATCTATATTATGTATAAGGCTTGATGTGTCGTACGCCTTAAGCATTATGAGTTGATACCAAGCCAATCATGGGAAACCCTTGTTGGAACCTGAAAGTGAACCTCTAGCAATCACTATTCTTGTATATTCCGAAGTCAGCCTGTTCCGGAGTCAGATGGATTTTTCGAAGTCAGAAGCCTTACGTAGTCATTTATGTTCAGGAGTGAAGATGGTGTCCGGAACCACGTCTATGTTCCGGAGTTAATGTTGTCTGAATTTAATTTGTCAGTTTGTATTGATTGTATTTGTCAATTAGCTTAATATTACATTTCATAGGACTAAATCCCTTTTGTCAAACTTGGATAATCAGAGTATCGAAAGTAACTCTATTATCCAGTCTTATGTATGTAAGTGAGTTTGTACGATGTTTCATGTTCTCCTATTTATAGGAGTTTTCAATGACAAATCAAACGACGGATTGTTCATTAAAAAGATAGCAATATTTCAGTTATTTCAGCTTTCAAATTATTCCCTCAAACATTCTTCTTGTTCCTTATTTATTATCCTTACTTTGATCATTCTTCTTACTCTTCATTAATATCTTGAATACTTTGTTGAATACACTAACTCAGACTTGACTGGTCTTGCCAGACTTGACTTGAACACTAATTAGCAAACAGACATTGATCTTAAGCATTCATTCAAGGTTTGAGTTTTCAAACCTTGTCCCTGCGCATCTGATCGTCCTTGTTCTCACAATTGGTATCAGAGCTTGAGTGATGTCCTTTGAATCCATAAGATCAGATTATAGTTGATTTGAAATTACCTTGGTATTTCGATCATTTCTGTGTTGAGGATAAAAGTTCTTCTATATACCACTTTTGCTCAAAGATATCTTAACTTCAATGGCTGCTTCTAATACTCAACAAATGTATTCAATGCAAATAGCAAATAGCGTGGGTTGCCCTATACGTTCCCCACTGCTAGTTGTTGAAGAATATGATCATTGGAAAGTTAGAATGAAAAGATTTTTACTTGGAAAAGAGAAAGGTGAATCTATCTGGAGATCCGTTAAAGAAGGTCCTCATGTTCCAGTTCGTACTGTGGTTAGAGGTGCTTCTGCAACTCTCTTGGGACAGGATTAACAACGTCAAGCACCTCTCACTGCTGATGACCTCAAAAAGTTGCATGCTGATCAAGTTGCCTTTTCGGAAAATGGTGTTTGGTGCTCCACCATCTCTCTTTGAGCACATCAAACTGTGCAAGTCCGCAAAAGAGATTTGGGACACACTTCAAGATTTATTTGAAGGGTCAGAGAACATGAAGGATAAGCGCTTGACTTCGATTGTCAATGAGTTCGACACTTTCACTACAACACCTGGTGAATCTGTTGCCTCAGCCACAAACAGATACCGAATTGTTGTCAACAACATGACAACTCATGGGATAGTCCAAACTCCACTTGATTACAATCTCAAGTTCATTAACAGTCTAGGAAAGGGATGGTGAAACGTGAAATCATGTCTTCAGAGCAATGGATCTTTGAAAAAGATCAAGCTCTATCAACTCTTTGATGAACTTCAAGGTCATGAGTCAAATGTTGCTCAAACTCTACGAGAACTCACCGGAGGTCCTCTAGCCTTAGTCCGTTCCTATGATCCACAAACCTCAAACCCAATTGTTTCGGATCCTCTTGTTGCTGTTGTTCCATACATTCCTCCTGTTCAACCCTCACCTCCTAACGTTCCTGCTCTCACAAATTCAAACTTTCAATCTATGAGTGACCCTAACCCTGATGAAATGGACTATAAACTACGTTTTCAACAAGAGTTTGCCTTACTCTCTATGAAGTACAACCATCCTTTCAACAAGCCTCACAACAATCGATTCCAAACTTCTTACCAAAATAATCGCTTTCAAGCTCCTCACCAAAACAATCATCATCCTTTCAACAAACCTTCCGAAAACCCTCCAACCAACAAGCCAAATCTTCCTACTCAGAATAATACCTCAGAACCTCCACAGCTTCCGAAACCTGAGAAACCCAAGATTGTGTGTCACAAGTGTGGACATGCAAACCGCTTTGCCAAAGATTGCCTAGCCGAAGTCCCACAAAAACCAAAGATCAAGGACTCTTCTTACTATGCTCGCCGAGCTCAAAAATTGGATGAAAGTGAAAAGGCTTTTGTCACGACTGTGTCAAGGTATGTAGAAGGATAGTGGTCATCAGGAGATGATGATGACGTAACCACTGGCAGAAACATGTGTCTCATGGCTCGATAAGAAATTGAATGTGATGAAGGCTATTGGTCGTATGGGTCCGAAGGAGATGATGAAGATGCTGAACCACATTATTGCTACATAGCTACTAACGATCCACCCGGCCGAAGCATCGTTCAACAGTTAAAATCTATGATTATTGATAATAATTTTGATTTGTCTCTTTGTGAACCATATCTAACCCAGATCCAATCAGATATGACCATCATTTACAAAGCCTATGAGTCAGCCATAGAAGCCAGTGAGAAGAAGGACAGTGAATTGAGTCGTCTTAGGTTACGTTTCGAGGATAAGAAGTTTAAAATCGAGTCTTTAGAACATGAGCTTGTAATGTCAAAAGATGAATGTATCATTCTTAAAGACAAATGTGAAATCACTTATTTTGAAAGAAATATTTTAATTTCGGATAACAAACGTCTTAATGCTAAGATTGATTCCATGCACCATGCCATAGACATTCTTGAAGCAAATGAACGGGTGACTTATAATTTTCGTCATCCTTGGTCAAAAGCTCCTGGTCTCGGAAGCGAGTATCCGAAACTAGTTGTTCGTCCCTTAAAGGAGTTGCAAAATCTGACTTTTATGGGAGATGTTCCGAACATAAAAAATTCGGATACTCCTGTTTCTCCCTTGTCACCCCTTAATGAGACTTCTGATCATTTTTCATCCTTGATTCCTGAGTTTAAGCCCATAGTTGTCAAGAGTCCCGATTCCACGCAATTTTTGCATCCTTGATTCCTGAGATGTTCCTTGAAATTCGTGCCACGTTTGCACGTCCTTTAAAGCAAACATCCCATCGCCGTTTGACGGTTTCTATTCCTCACTTCATTCCACAGAAACCTTTCATCATCATTAGTCAACTCACCCCCAAAACAACAAAATATTAAATGCGACCCATTTCCATTTCGGATCCTCATCATTACCCTTTCTGACCCGACTCGTTTCCATCACCTATAAATACCCTTTTAAACCCTCATTTGTCTCTTTACGCTCACAAATCCTTCTAAACCCTCTCATCACCTTCAAGTGTTCTTGTGTTCTTCAAGCTCTCAACCTCTGCAACAATGGCATCTTCTTCTTCTCCCACAAAAATCGATCAAGATGCTCCTAAAAGTACGAAAGTTGTCTCAAAGAAGAAGTCTTCCAAAGGATCATCCTCCGAACCAAGTAATCGGCAACCCAAACGCTGGCGTACAAACTCGATTTGCTACAAGTCTTCAAAATGAATGTCATTTCTCATCATTTTTCTCTATGGTTGAACCTAAATCCATCAAAGAAGCACTTGAACATGCTGATTGGATCACAACCATGCAATAAGAATTAGCAGAATTTGATAGAAATGAAGTTTGCTCTCTCATCCCTCCCCCTCAGAACCATCCCATTGTCGGTACTAGATGGGTGTTTTGCAACAAGTTAGATGATGCATGAGTTATCATTCAAAACAAATCAAGATTGGTGGCTAAAGGATTTACACAGATTGAAGACCTTGATTATGATGAGACCTTTGCTCCTGTTGCACGTCTTGAAGCTATCAGAATCTTTCTTGCTTATGCTGCTCACAAAGGCTTCAAGGTTTACCAGATGGATGTCAAAAGTGCTTTTCTAAATGGTGAACTTGATACTGAAGTATATCTTCAACAGCCTCCCGATTTTGTTAATCTCTCATATCCGAACTACTGCTATAAACTCCGGAAAGCTGTCTATGGCCTTAAGCAAGCTCCTCGCGTATGGTACGAGACCCTCACCGATTTTCTCAAGCATTCAGGTTTTCAAAGAGGAATTCTAGATCCCACTCTGTTCCGAAGGTCAAATGGAAAACATCTCATGCTGGTCCAAATCTATGTTGACGACATCGTTTTCGGATCCACTGATTCTTCAATGGTTGCTGAATTTGCTAAGTTAATGGTCAGTAGGTTTCAAATGAGCATGAATCGGGAATTAAGCTTCTTTCTTGGTCTCCAAGTCAAACAGAGTAATCGAGGAATTTTCATTCACCAAGAGAAGTACATTTCGGAACTCCTCAAAA